CGGAAGAGCTTCTTTTCCTTTTTTTCACCTGTGAAGCCTCTTTAGTTAAAGCAGAAGTAAATTTAGAGAGTAAAAGCATAGAAATAGAAATAGGACAATAAGGGTTTGTTAGCGACTTCCACCTCTCGAGAAAAAGTGGTACGCACAAAGACTATGCTTCCAACACCCAATGTTTTCATGACATGTGAAACACAGACACACTCACGCACACGGAAGGATATCCACATGACAGGAAATATATCTAGGGAATAAAGGGTGCACTTAAGGAAACTATTGCGAACATGCAAAGGGTTAATAGCAGAAAAGGATGACAAGGATGAATCTATTTAGTATCTATGTATTTACACACAAGAAGAGGAAGCGAAATATAATATAGAGGAAAAAAATAATCTGTAGTACCTTCTTGTACGGACGTGTGATATGTGAAGAAAGTAAAATTTCTCCCCCTCAGAGGAAGCGGAAGGGGAGGTGCCATAAAGTTCACGAGAAAAAAATACACGACAAGAGAGATCCCTGTGATCCTGGAATTCGAGCCCATCGTCCTCACATCGAGCTCTCAACCTCCGCGGTGGTTGATAACGAGACGCTCGACCACGGAGTGGCGGTCTCTGGCGTATTCGCATTCCCATCATCATTCGGGATATGGGGTTTTCCGGCGACAGGAGCCGATTCCTCTTGCGTACTACGTGAACTGACGTCTAGCCACGGGCAGGGCGGACGGGCGTCGGTATCGGAGCTCAAGGCGGTATCGAGGTCTTTTCTAACTTCCATATCATCGTCGTCCTCGTCGCTGCCGGTGTCGCGAAGATACCCCTCAAGGGCCCACGGAAGCGCTCGATGCAAACAAGACAACGAGGCTGACAGAAGTAGCTCGCGTGCGTTAGTATCATGAAATGTATTATGACTGCTATTATTCGTCATACCGTTAACGATTTCGCTACGGCAAACGGCATCGCTTCCATGCCCCGTCACATGGTCTTTCTCTGAGCTTGGGGGAGTGGGGGAGAAGTAGCGTAGCATTCGCTCAATCACGTCGCGCATGCCGACCACTTCCGAACGATGAACGCGTGCGTTTGACGAGAAAAAGGCGAACGAGGGTGGTGGGCCCTTAAGCCAGAAAAGATGATCCTCGGTCGGCCGGCTTTTCACCCCACGCTGCCATGTCGCGTCGGAGTGATCGCCATCCGCCCCGTCGTCGTTCCCAGGCCGCACACTGGCAACCGTCGTTGCATCGCCACACCCGCTTTCTGACAAAAAAACGTCTGAAACCGCCTCTTTGGCGCCCCAACGCGGTAGGGATGGCTCCATGGAGTAGACGCGGGAGGTGGCGCTGTCGAGCTCCACCTTGGCGAACTTTTGCCGCTGGGTGCTTCGCTCGTCCAGCTCCTGCGCGGCCGTCTCGGAGGCCTCGCGTGGGCGATACGGCGGCCTTCCCCCGCTGTAGCTCGACGCCACCTCCCTCTTATCCTCGCCACCTCGCTGAACGGACGCGATCGCGCGCCGCCGCATCTCCTGTCGAATCAACCGCAACAGCCGAAGGGTTCGTCGGCCGTAGAAGACGGCGACGTCGGCGATGGAGGCCCCCGCCGCCTCCAGGAGCGCCCCCCTTCCAGGAGAACCCAGCGTCGCCACCGCCTCTTGCGGCGTCCACCACCACGCCCGCCAATGCGCGGCGAAGAAGGGCACCAGCCACTCCACAAAGGCCTTCTCCAACTCCCCTTGTGGCGAACACCCGAGGGGGCATCGAACCGCACAACAGCAGATCACCCCAAGGAAATACCGCAACGCGGCGCCGCGGATGTCGCGCGCGAGGTCCTCACCCCCTCCTTTTTCTTTTGATTTTTCTTCTTCATCTTCTTCCTCGCCTTCTCCGCACTGCGCGTCGGCGTTGATGGGGAGGCCGGCGAAGGCGTGATGCCGGGTTGCCAGGGAGGAAAAATCGCCAAGCGCGCAGGCAAACACACAACGCACCTCCTGCGGCATCGCGTGAAACCTGAAAAGCCGCGGTAACACACAAAGCAAAAAAGCCAGATCGTTCGCCTCGTGGTATCGCGCACGGCGTCCGAGGATGTGCGGCGGGAGGCTCACCGAAGGGTCTTCATCCATCGTACCTGGGCGAGAAAGAATCCATTTGAGCATCTTCACGTAGGTGTAGGCCGCACGCACGGCGAGCTGTGGCGGCGCCACCTCCCACGACGACGGGGAATCGTTCGGCTGAAGCGACCGGCGAAGGGCGCTCGTGAAACCGCCGCCGCGATCTCCCCATATCTCCTCCGTGGAGCTCCCTTTCCGCGGCGTCGCGGTATTCATTCGAAGAGGCCATAGGGCAGTGGCCTCTCGTGCGGTCGGGGAGGAGGCTCCCGCCGCGCCGCCTTCCCTCCGGAAACGACGCGTTAGCCAATGACGCCAGGGGAAAAAATCGCGCGTGTACGACTCCACACAGCACTCCAGCCGATACCTGAGGTGGTATCCCACACGATTGTCGTCGTTTGATGTGGAGGGGGAAAGGTGGGGCAGTTCGGTTCTTTCCACCGTGTTAAAATACTCCAGCATGGCGGAAGGGTCGACCTCGCTGAGGAATTGCTGCAGCGCATCGCCAACGGCGCGGAGGCCGCTCTCAACGAACTCCCCCCCGGTTGTGATAGGGGGGCTCGTCATGTACTCCAAGGCCATGTAGTGAACCACGTCGAGGATGCTCGGATAGCAAAGAAACAACCCACCCGATGCCTCCAAACCCCCAGGGCTGGCAGCTGCCATCGGCGAAGCAGGTGAGGGGCCCTCCACCCCTCCCTCTACGAAGAGCGCGGGATCTTTCGAGATCCCCCCCGGTTTGGTTTGCTCGACGCCCATCGCCGTTGATTTTACCCTTTCCGTCGCCTGAGAGGACGGGTTTTGCACGCGAGTTCGGAGGCTGTTTTGCTCAAAGCCGTAATACTTGCTGCGGGATCCCTCTTGTCGTGGTTGGACGTCCTCTTCACTGCTCGCACTTCCATCACGGGCGCCTGATTTGGGGGGATGATGATACACACACGCGCGAACGACCTCTCGAGAAGGAGGACTCCACCCCAAGAACCCATCCGCGTAACGCTGCAACACCGTGGCGTCCTCCATGCGAAAGGGAAGTCGGTCGAGAATTCGGTTGAGAAGCCGGCGTTGGGTGGGCTTCCCGAAAACCGCCTCGGTGAACCCAAGGAAGGCATCCATCATCAGCCGGAGACGCTCCAACGGCCTTGAAAGATGCGCCTTCTCAACCAACCCCTTGGCGTCGCGCAACGCGGCCGCGATATCATCCACGAGGACGAGCGCGGCGAGGGAGAGGGCGGCTAAAATCCGACAGCTTTGCGAGTGCGGTGGAACCCACGCCGGCCACCGTATACAAACCTCCCCGTGTTCCCTTCCGTCGCCCTTTTCGTCATTTCCAGATGTCTTCGACGCGATTTCACGATGGAAGGGCCCACATGAGCGGGTGGAGGATCGCCCCTGCGCAAGACGCGCTTCTACCGTGATAGGGGATGCCCGCCAGTGCTTGTGGATGCGATCCGTCGCGTAGCGAAGAACGCTGCCATGGATGGGCGTGGTATGAGCAAAGGCCGCCACCCAAAAGGGTGGGGATTCAGCCCACCCGTCGTCAGAAACCAAGTCGTTTTTTTCGTGATGAAGAGAGACGTTGATGGAATTTGTATTTAGTGTGGAAAGCTCAGGGTGAAGGAGATCCGCCCCGTGAAGTCGCGTTCGTCGGTGCCCCCCTCCCAAAGCCTCCTCCTCGCCTCTTTCCTGCTCTTCCTCATACCCTTTGAGGAGCTCTCGCCCACGTTTCCTCTGGGTCCCTTGTCTAGGCTCCAGACCCCGCCTCAGGATCTCATCCACATGACGGCAAAGCGCTCCTTGCAAGGTTCGCTGCACCGCCTCCGAGAAGCCGTGTTGACGTTTTAAAAGGCAGGAAAGGGAGGTGAAAAGATGCGCCCCTGTCGTGGACGGTCGAAGCTCACCTCCGTGGGATTCACGCGAGGTTCGATTAGGCGCGGCATCCAACGGAGGACCCCCGGCGCCCTCCTCATCGCTACCTTCCTCAGGAGGATCCTCGGCAAGGGCGGTTGGCAGGGCCGCACCCCCCTCAAACCCCGCTTCCTCATTGGAATCATCGGCGGGATCGGAGGCGATCCCAGAACCGTGGAGAGGCACAAACGCGGCCTCGCAAACGGGATCAGCCGCGTGCAGGACCCTTTCGGAAAACCGAGGCCTTCCCATCCCGTCAGACGAAAGTGTAAACGGCTCCAGATTCGGCCTGAGAGGCGGCCCTGGCTCCTTCGTGGGGATTGCGGGGTGGATGTGGCGTAGCACGACGGGTTCGTACAGGCCGTAGAAGCGCATCATGGCTGGCTGCGAGGATGGGAATCGTGCCGAGGGCTCTTTGGGGAATCGCCTTGGCCAGTAGAGCAAATACACCGCGGCGAGGGGCACACGCGCGGTGAAAGGAATCCGACCCTCCTTCCCTCCCTGCCCGGTGCGGGCGGGCGATATTCGCGAGCGCACCCCACCTCCCGCGGGTGGGGAAATGGCATCCACGCTTAATGGGTTCGAACGGAATCCATTGAGCGCGCGGCTGGGTGGATCTCGCGAGGAGGACTCCCGCGTGAGCTCGGTCGGCATCCAGACCACACATCCGCGCGTGAAACCCCGCCTGCCCGCTGAGGTTCTCTTCTCCTGCGTCGCTGAGTGAAGAGAGGAGGAGGGGGGGCACGATACAGAAGGAAGGAGCGTGGGTTTCGAAATGGCATCTCTCGGTTGCCCCATTGGATGCCTTGGATCCCCAAACGCAAATGTCTGAATGTCTTTGCCTTGGTGGACTTTCTGAATATCTGAGAATCTATCATGACAGCACAAAGGCTGCGTGGCGTCGTTATTGATGTGTTTAAGGTTAATATTCATCTCTGAATCCTCGAAGAGATCAATAAAATCTCTGGTGACGAGATCGCATTGCATGCTCGTCTCCGTCTGGTGTTGTCGTGGATGCTGACCACAGGAAGTCTGGGTTACTGCTAATAATGAAGACGAGGGCAGATGCACATGCAAAGCTGAGGGATACGAAAGCGGTTGACCTCGGCTACACCCTTCAGAACCCTCATTATTTGTTTGGTTCATGCGGCATAAACGCTCCGAGGGCTGAGGCCCCGCACCGCTGCTGCTTCCCTCATCTTTCATACGACCAAGGAAGATCCACGGCGAGTAAGAGACACTAATTTAATCAAAACTCTGATTGTTCTGCGTTTAGAATACTCTAGTATTATGATAATAATATCAATGACTCCAACTACCAGAAAAAAAGATCTGTGGAAGGTGAAGTTTAGCGTGGGAGCACATACACAACGTTGAAGCTACCGAAAGGGAAAAAACTTAAAGTGGTAAATTTTAAAAATCGGAAGAGCCCACTGTTTATCCGTAAAAAAAAAAAACGAATTATCTATACTAATACTGCTTTACGAAAGTATATATTTTTTAAAGCTTTATTGGTCCTAGAAAATCCTGTTAAGATAGAACTTAAATAATAAAATAAGAAATCCATTTGCATATAAGTACTCGTTAGAGAATATATTTATTAGCTTCTGCACAAGCATGATAGGTGTTGGTCACTGCCCCTTCTTATGCGCTGATTCCCTCGTTCTCGTTGCGATTCAGCAGCCTATCTTGTTCCAGGAATTTACGTGTTTCATAGTTCTGACGCTTGTGTTGAGGCTTTGTGAGCAGAATCGACAAAGCACCAATAAAAGTGATGACGATCGAGCTAATAAAAATGATGAGCGACTTCCCCTTGTCCGGGTCATCCGTCAGCACGGCGCCGAAGACCAACGTCAAGATAAGGTTCATCGCACAGGCGGACCACATCAGCATCGGTGCCGACGTGCTTTCCGCCATCGGAAAGGTGAGCTCAACCACGTACTCGAACATCAACGGCATCGTGAAATTCTGGCAAATCCCCGCGATGACGCTCCAGCAGGCGAACATGACGGCCGTGTAATACGAGCCCCCATACTGCTTGCCGAAGTGAACGAGCAGCGTCATTAAGGTTAAATCCACCGTCAGCACCAGGGCGGTGGACGACAGGATCAGTTTATACCGACAGTTGAAGCGCTCCACCAAGGGCATCAAAAACGGGCACACCGCGGTGCCGAGGACGAGGTTCAGGAAGCTAATCCACCCCGTCATCGCCTCGCTGATGCCATAGGGTTTGAAGACCTGCGGTAGGACGGTCGCCATCGACCACACGAGCCCCAATTCCGCCGCCGACATCACAATGAGCAGCACCAAAGAGGTGTTTCGCCGACAGACACGATAGCAGTCGACGAGAACGGAAAAGACGTTCACCGGGTTCACCTTATCCGTCTCCATCTCATCTAAGGAGGAGTTGGAGTCCGCCTCGAGAGCCTCCATCGCGTGAGGCCCTCCTTTCCTTTCGATTCCTGGTTCTTCCCGCCCTTCCCTTTCCGCTTCCCCTTCTCTAGCAGGGGCTGGGGCCGTATTCTCGTCCTCCCCGGGCCGAGAAGCCCGTCGCCACCGGAGGCGGGCATCCTCCTTCGCCTGGAGGATCTGCGCGGTGAAGCTGGCGGCGTAGCGAGGTCGTTTGGGAATCAGAAAGGTCACCAACCCCAACGTCACCCCGCAAATCACAAAGTTAAACCAGAAAAAATTCGCAAAGTCCCGCTTGGAGCTGTGTTGGGGCCCAACAAAGAAGGTCGGCACGAGGACCCCGACACCGCTGCCGATGTTCATAGCGGAAGACATGATCGTATTCGCAACCCCGCGTTCCCGCCGTGGAAACCATCGATTCGCAATCAACGGCGGCGTTGCGATGACGAGCACCTCCGTGATGGAGTTCACCGCCTGTGAGGCAAACAGCAACGCGGGGTGTGGCCAGGCGTAGAGCGCGATAATTTTGATCCCGGCCCCCACCGCGTTGGTCAACGAGGCGATCACCAAGGTGATCTTAATCCCGGCAATCTCGTACAGCTTGCAACTGAGGAAGACAATCGAGATGTATGCGATGACGTAGACAGATGGCAACATGTTGACTTCCGAGGCGCTCATGTGAAAATACGCTCGAACCTCGTCGACAATGGATGAGAAGGCAATCCATTGCATGGCGTTGCTGACCGAAAGAAGCGAAAACAGCACTAAAACGACAAACCGCAACGGATCGGAGCGAACATTACTGCCCGCATCATCTTTCCTATTGCTGCAGTTATCAACAGTAGTGGAGGCTTGGTTTAAGACTGCTCCACTGATGGGAAGAGATACTTTCAAAGATTCGTGAGCTAACTGCCTGGAACCATTTTCCCTAGGACATTTGGAAGAGTCCTCAGCGATGGGCTCGTTTAGAATCACGGGATTTTGCATTGCTCGGACTTCACTATTAGTTTAATTGGTGCTCAATATGCTCTCAAAAACTAATCCCTATTTACTATAGCTGTTATTGTTCTTTACTTTCAAAATTAATACAGCAAAAACTTCATATATAATAAAACCGAATTCTTTATAAGACACCAAAGCTCTAGTAGTGTACATATGAAGAGACATGTAATGATCCGTAATACTGACGCAACCACAGCATCGACCATACCAAATGCTTACCTGCTGAAATTCTTTTGCTTTGACTCATTCCACCGCTTTGAATATTTGCATTGAGAAGCCATAAATTGTGTACGCCTCCCTCAAACAAACAAATTTGCTCGACACCCCTCAAAGTAGAGTCGCATCAACGACAAAACTAAACGATTTGGGGAAGTCGTGGAGGCAATGGTCATAAAAATCCCATCAATGCAATTGAGCCCCCTTCACACACTGTTCAATGAGAAAAAAAGGCAATAACGCCGAAGGGAATCCATAAAGGAGTTTCTCTGGAAACATTCACTACCACGCATGCCCACACAGAACAGTCAATGAATTCCGCTGTCTGTGAGAGTTATTTTTCCGTATCTCCACCATTTCTTTCAAACCCAATGAGGAAATAAAAGGAAGATCTTCAAGGTCATCAGTCAGACACTCAGCAAAACGGGAATACGCGGGAAATTCTCTTTTCTCTGGTGCAATTGGAGAAGAGAACTCTCAGCAGCAGCGCATGACAATAGGTTTCGGAGTAACAGGGAAATTACATTCGAAAAGGTAAATGCATAACGCAATTTTACCAGTACCGAGCGCCCACACCCCGAGATGGAAGTAATTTTTGTTTTCTTCTATTCTCCATTTCTTCAAACCTTTTGTGTCACTTGAATGTACGTGCCACTCTCTGATTGACGTTTCATTCATTGTAATACTGTCACTACTGTTGGTATTGATGAGGACTTAGAAAATGTAAGGGAAAAGGAGAAATAAATTAGTGGTTTTTCTGCTACCAGAATTTACGAAAATAAACTATACAAAAGATTGGAAACTGAGCATATTAATCGGATACAGCACGATGCAAATCGAACAAGCAGAAGTCTGTCGGTACTGGAAATATGTATTTAATCAATGTGTGATAGAAGATGGAGAAGTAATCTGATACACTAAAAAATAAATACGATAAACAGAGGCAGATACCACCCATTGTTCCATCACTTCTACAGACCTATTGGTTGCCATGTATAAGGCTAGTTACACTCGCTCGTTCTCTCTCCTAATAACCAAAAGGAGTACTCCAACGCCCCTATCCTTTAATTCTACCACATTAACCAAAGAAAGGCTGAATCACATACACACACCTCGTTCTGAATCTCCTCTCCTTGGAATATTCTATACCCTACACCTTGGGCCCCTCCTTGATTGCAGAAGAGGAAAAAAATACCTTACTCTATCGTCTGTTGCCGCTGAAGACTGGAACGATTATCATCGTCGCCGTTGCCGCGCCTCCGGTTGGGGCCGTAATTCCAGCGGCGACCGCCCGTGGATCGGCCCTCATCATTACGACTGAGCGCGCGCTCCTGAAATCGCATAAAACCGAAACTCTCAGTGAGGGCGTTCTGCAGGAAGTGCTCGATGGTCACCCCAAAATGGCTGTCGAAGTGGACGGACCAGGGCTCCGGCTTGTCCGATGTCGCGCGTTGGATGGTGCCGGAAAGCACATAACCCCCTTCCGAGGTCTTTTCAAAGACCAGGTCGTAGGCGTTGTTCTTCATCGCATGGCTCTCAACACGGCCCTCGACCACGGAGACGAGCCCGGCGAGGTCCATATGCCGCAGACGCACGGAAATCCGCCGATCGAAGTCGAACTGCGGGGTGTCGTCATTCGGATCCATCTTGCGCGGCCCCAGTTGGGGGTATTGGAGGAACAGCAGCTGTTTCTTATCCACGGCGATGCGCGTCATCCGGCCTTTGGAGGGGTCATCACGCACGTCGTGGATCTCAAAGCGCGGGAGTAGCCAGGTGGGAATTCGCGCCCCTCGGCGACCCTGCCAGGACTGTCTCCACGCCGACCTCGGGTTGCCTTCACCTGGGTTGTCAGACGACAGCACCTCGCCGTACGACTGGGAGCGAATCCCGAACGAGGTACTAGTGGCGAAGAAAGCAAGGAGGGGTGCTTTGATAGCAAGACGAAGCATGGGATGCACTCTACTTTTCTTTTCCTTATTGATATATAAATATATATGTAAACTATTTTATTTTTAGAGAACTTTCGATATAATCAATACAATAGAAACTGAAAGCGAAATGAGGGACAAAAAGGTGTAAAATCGGAGGGAAAATAAGCAGATAAAACGCGTAATGTATGCGGAATAAAGAACTCTCGATCTCGATCTATTGATGCGGATACAAAATTCAATCAATTAAAAAAAATAGAAGAAATGAAAAATAATAATTACCTCACGTGTTACGGTTTAATCACAATACTAGAAGAAAAAAGCAGCGTTAGGGATGGAAAATACCATCGATACGAAACTTAATCATAAATAGACAAATCATAAAGAATATAGCAAACCTATGAAATGGTAAATTTTCATTTTTAACACTTTTATTATCACTAGAATCACAACTGCTTAGCTGTCATGTTTTTATTAAACGCTTCTTGCACAAATAGCGAAGGTTATTGTTGTCTTCTCTTTCATACTACAAAAGAGTATTGTGCAATTATGTCCACAGTTTTCCCCATAGTATTGCATGCATGCACAATCAAGAACGCATCCCTCAAAGGTGAATTGTACCCACCATATAGTCTCTCTAGGAATACTTGAGTAATGTTTGTGCAGCTTCCCCTTCCGACACACACAGACATAGACCTCTGGGAAAAATAAAAACGATAAAAAGAACAAAAGAAACACAAAAATATTTTGATTTATTGCAGAACATGTAATAGGCATGAGTTTTCACCACCACATCGACATCAAAGAGGTCCTTAGCGACCCAACTTGGCACCCAGGGCGGTACATATTCCTAATGGTGGCGTTTAGCACGACTGCTGACGATCTCAGCATGGAGTTCCTCTTGTTTATGTACCAACTATAACAAATTCTTTGTTCTTTTGCTATTTACTTCATGGGTTTTCCTAAGAGCTATAGACCAAATGTATATATATGTACACATGCAAAGTGCCTACAGTTCATTAAAAAAACTATTCTGTGTCGCCTTCAAATAGTCCCACTCTACCACCCGAATAAAGTCGCAAGAATCGGAATAATACCGTCCATTATTCACACATAGAAAAGTAAAGCCACTTACTAATAGACAGTTTTAATCATACTCGAATTCGAAGGCCCTTGGTAAGAAGCGAAATAGACAAATCCGCTAAACTGCTCTTGGATACCCTCTCACTTACACTTAGACATGGAAAGGTTTCCCGATATGTCTGAATCCTCACTAAGATGGATAGTATGAAAGACTACTTCAGTCTTCCATGCAAATCATCACCACAACGCATGGTACTGAATTAGGCCCTGCGTGTGATGGCCAAACTTGATTCTGGATTCGTCGCGCACTCCGACAGTCCTGCAAATGAACTAGGCTGCGTAAGGGTGTCTCAGTGAAAGCCCAATAGCAAGATGTGATAGTAAGGTATGAATGTCGCTATTTAATATACATATATATATATATATATATATATATATATATATATATAGAGGAAGTAAGTAAAGTAGTAAGTAGTAA